TTTCAATGATGGAAGCAGTAGTATCAAAACTTTATTCGGTGATTGAGAAAATTTAAGTGAGTGGAGCCTGGGAATTACCAAAACCCCAAAACTTGTAAAACTTGCGTGGTTGGATCACATGGCATTCGGAGTTTCTATGATGTGAGCAAAGCAATCCCTCAGCAGATTGTTATTACGGCAAAAATTAATGGAGTTTTTTATAAATCTCGTTCATCTATAAACTACCTAGACGTTCAGTCAGTTACGAAACCAATTTCACATGATCCCGTGGTTTTTTCAATACCACCCGCACCTGCATCATTCACAACTAACAAAAAAAAGCAAGAAGAAAGTGATATTTCATTTTCTGCCGACGACTCAGACTCTGACTACAAAGTGCCGGAGAAGAAATTTATTTGATTAATTGTGCTGAACTTTGCAACCTAGTAAGAGATCTGGCACTAACAAAAACCCAAGCAGAACTGCTTGGTTCCCGCTTGAATGAATTTTATTTACTTGCACAAGGTACAATAACAGCAGACTTTTGTCACAGGCAGAAAAATCTTGTTCAGTACTTTGGGATAAGTGACAGTATTTGCTTCTGCACCGATGTTGATAGCTTTTTGTCATGTCTAGAAGTTGAACACAGATTTGAAAAATGGAGATTGTTCATTGACTCATCCAAGACTAGTTTAAAGGCAGTATTGTTGCACAATGGAAATAGATATGCATTAGTACCAGTTGCATTCTGCCCACATGAAAGAGACGTACTTAAACCTGTCTCAACTTTTGGAAAAAATACGTTATCGCAAGTGCAACTGAAGTATTTGTGGTGACTTAAAAATATTAGCTATTCTAATGGGAATGCAGTCAGGATACACAAAGTACTGTTGCTTTATATGGCCAATCAGATACAAAATGCAGCCAGGAAATAAAAACGTTCTTCATCCAACTTTGGCTGATCATGACAAGATAATCATGTCACCGCTTCAAATCAAGTAGAGACATAAAAAATTTTGTCCAAAAATTAGACAGTGACTATGCTGCATTTCAGCACATGTGCAATAAGTTCCCAGTGTTAAGTTATGATAAGGTAAAAGAAAGTGTGTTCAGTGGTCCTCAAATAAAAAAAATTATGGCTGATAAAAACTTTCATGACATTCTATGTGTAATTGAAAAAGATGCGTGGGTGGCATTCAAGTCAGTCGTAACTAATTTCCTTGGAAATAAGAAATGTACTGGCTACGTGAATTTTGTACAAAAATGTTTAAATGCGTACAAGCACCTTAGCTGCAATATGTCTCTGAAAATTCATTTACTCGACTCGTATCTGGACTTCTTTCCGGAATATCTTGGCGCAGTCAGCGACGAACATGGCAAGCGCTTCCACCAGCACATTTAGGTGATGGAGTCAAGCTTTAAAGGTCGGTGGAGTGCAGTATGCTGGCAGGCTACTGCTGGATAATTCAGCGTGATTTGCCAACTCAGAAGTATAAACGAAAGTCCACAGTGAAAAAATTTATACTGTGAACATGTGTAACAAATTTTTTATTATACGTCAGTATTACACTTCAAATTGAATTTCGGTTTATTATATAATTATGTATGTATATACATATATATATATATATATATATATATATATATATATATATATATATATATATATATATATATATATATATATATATATATAATAATTATATATATATATATATATATATATATATATATATATATATATATATATATATATATATATATATAGCTATACAACGTCATTTCTCTACTATATAGCTACACCGATGACAGTATTCGATCCTTACAATAGATGGAATATTTTTTGAAACAATCTATTAAATTTAGATTTTTATCGTTAAAAAAGCCTTGCAAACGCAAATTAAAGTAAATTTGTATTACTAGACGTATACAAAAAATTCACGAAGTTGTTTGCTAGTTTTTAAAAAATTAGCACAAAAATTTGAGTATATGTATGTATTAAGAATGCCTTCCTGATCCAACCACGCAAGTTGCATGAGCACGTTAAACAAATAAAGTTAGTTGTCCACAACTTATTACAATCCACCTTTGAATCAAAGTACAGTTCGTATGCTTTCTTTAGTAATGGTGTGAAAGTTTTCAGATGTGACTTGTCTGTTACATAGCCGCACACATAGCAAAAATTAGATGAATTTACACATCCTCTGGTTGCCATATTTTTAGCGAATTACCACATTAACTTTTATTTTTTTATGTTTACATTAAGTTTTATGTTCCTGCAATGAATGCAGAGGAAGTAAAGTTGGAATTTGCAATTATATTTCCCAATCAAATAGTACAACATCATGACACTGTTTTTATATATATTTATATATATATATTATATATATATTTTTTCTTTATTAAAATATTTAATACAATATTTATAAATACATCAATAAGAAAAATTGCAGGCAAAGAAATCGCTAAAAATTAAAGAGTAAAGATAAAGAACGCGAATACTCAAAGAAGACCAAATAAGATCTTGTCACCGAGAACCAAAATACCAAAGAAGATCTTGTCACCGAGAACCGCTGTTGAAGAACATTGAACTTAATTTAGATTTTAGAAAAAACAAAAATAAATAAATAAATACAAATTTTAAACTTTTCTTTAGTTATGGTCTTTATGGCTTGAATTAAAATACTAATTCTTCTGAACCGCATGAAGCGAAAACAATAATACCATAGTATTCTTGATAAAAAAATACGTCTCGCATCTTACTCACATCTATACGATCACTGAATCTTGTTACTCAAATGTATCTTTCAATTACACTAATTTTAATTGTTAACTAATTAATAAATAAACGAAAATAATAAGAACATGATTGCACTAAGTACATCCAAATGCACTTCAAGGTTGTTCAAAAGATTGTGCAGAAGAAATTAGAAAGCCAAATGATGGTGTCACTGTGTGTCAAGCCAAAATTATCAAATGTTGGTGCGTTTACGTTTACGCCTCCACAGATAAAAATGTTAAACCATTGTCAAAGGATGATTAACTTCGAGAAGTATCATACATACAATATTTGCAAATACATCCATTCACATACATCGAATTTTTTTTTTTTTTAATAATGTATATATATATATATTTTTTCATTAAAAAATTAAACTCAATATTAAAAGTATATACCGTTCGTAAGACAAACTAATTACAAATATTACGAATTAATTTAAAAATTAAAGTAAACAAGTAAATAATAAATGACTATTGTACAAATAATGCCAGTGCAACTTTTAACAAAATTCAAATAATGGTGTTTAATTATAGTTTCTCACAAAAACTTTAAATCAATATTTTATAAAAGTAAAATATAAATGAGTGATGACAAAACTGAGTATAATTAAAAGTATATAAATATATTTTCAATTGAGAAAATTACTTTTTTTAGTTTTCTTTTGAACATATAATAATTCCATTCATGAGAAAAATCAAAAATTTTTTTAAATTATTTGGTTCCATAAAAAGCTCCACGAAAAGAAATACAAAATTTACCAAAGTTTGTTTAAAACTTTGGTCGTTTATTAAAATTATCATTTCTTAAAGAATATTTATTTTTTTCTTTTAAGTAATATAAATCAAAAAAAAGGAAGCTGGAGATGAGTTGGTTTTACGTTAAAGAATGTTTGTTTAAAACGCTTCTTGCTTTATATAAAACTGCAATTCTTTTTGCAATTTTGTTGCATAAATGTCCGATGTGATTCTTCCATGATAAATTTTTATCTACAATGATACCTAGAAAATTTGTGAAAATTTCTCTTTTTATTTGAATATTATCAATATGAAGAAGAGGATTATTACTTGGAAGTAAATATTTTTTATATCGTGGATGAAGGAAAATCCATTTAATTTTACCAATGTTGAGTGAAAGTTTATTTGACTTAAACCAGTCAGATGTTTTTGTTAGTTCAATGTTCATATCATAAAAAAGTTTATTGATATTATTATTTTGTAGGAACAGTTTTGTATGATGATACAAAACTTATTCCTACCTAATTAACAACTATAATGTTTCCTGATGAGCAAACATTATAGTTGTTAGTTTTGTGACTTCATGGAGATCGTTAACATAAATTAGAAATAATAAGGGCCCTAGTATAGATCCCTGTGGAACTCCACAGGCTTTATTTAGACAATATATCTTTAGATAATCTTGAAAAGAAGATCCGTTGACATAGACAAATTGTTTTCGATGTTTTAAATAGCTTTTTAGTAGTTTTAAAACATTACCATTGATACCATAATGTTCAAGTTTTTTAAACAGCATTTCATAGTCAATTGTATATGTATATATTATTGTATATGTGTAGGTACAAAAATATCTTAAAAATTTGACCTGATAAAGGGAAAAGGTTTTCAGATTTGAAATCAGCATAAAATATTACTTAAGAAACATTTAATGACATTCAAGATATCCACAGCTTATTTTCAGTATAATCTTCGTGATATTATTGATCTTTTTGTTCCAATCAAAACAATATATCATAACAAAAAAGTCATTTATATACAGTCAACGGCGCAGTTAAAGGAAAATGATTTAAAAGAATATGGTGTTAAAAATAAATAGATTAAAACTGGAAAAATGCGGAAATTTCCCCCGATCGCATTCTCTTCAAATACGGTGATTTCAATTGGCTTGCTCAGTCACCGGGTCCGCCAGCTCTTTTTTTCTGGGAATTTATCTGAAATCTTAAATATAAATGACCAAACGATCATACTTAGACAAGATAGAAACATAAAATTAGAGCCAAAATTGTATAAATATCTTAGGACTTTCTACGTCATGTAGTAAAGAATGCAATTTAAAAAAAATATTCAAAATTGAACCATTTTTTTCAGATATTGTTTTCCATTTTAATTTTTCTTTATTGTTAACACTTTATGTATAAGTAAATCCAACAAGAAGTTATAAGCAAAGCAAGTCAGGTTATGATTTTTGGATACCCTGTGTTTTGAATACCGTATATGCATAATCGAAAAAAGAAGTTCACGGTTTTTAACAAAAGCGGATTGAAGTTTATATGCAGTGGCTTCGTGTTGAAAACTGTTTGCAAATATGGCCTCGTGGAAGCCATGGAAGTAAGAAATTTACATTTGTATGCGTGAATGTAACATGTGAAAGTTCTAGCATTCTAATACTAGTATTAAAAAGAATCCGTATTTGATAACATTATACATAAATACATACATACATACATACATACATACATACATACATACATACATACATACATACATACATACATACATACATACATACATACATTCATACATACATGCATACATAAATACATTCATACATACATACACACATACATATGTATATATATATATATAATATATATGTATATATATATATATATATATATATATATATATATATATATATATATATATATATATATATATATATGTATATATATATATATAATATATATATATATAATATATATATATATATATATATATATATATATATATATATATATGTATATATATATATATATGTATATATATATATATGTATATATATATATATATATTTATATATGTATGTATGTATATATATATATATAAATATATATATATATATATATATATATATATATATATATATTATATGTATATGTATATGTATATATATATATATATATATATATATATATATATATATATATATATATATATATATATATATATATATATATATATATATATATGTATCAGGGTTGGAAAAAACCCAGGGTTTTTTAAAAAAACCCTACCCAAATGGGTTTTTTTGGGTTTTATGGGTTTTTTGGGTTTTTTTAAAAACCGATCAAAATACCAAATTTTTATAACTATATGAGTATAATATTTTTTTTTTTAATTTCATAAACTCGCCTCCCTATTGCTCCAATGACCACTTCAGTCAAGGGAGCAACTCATTTTTTAAAAATATTCTGTCTCAATCCTTAACATTACCATTTTTACTTACAAGCAACCTTAACAACTAAAATTTTTACACAAATGCACTGTTCAAAGAAATAGATTGAGCGCAGTAATTTCAGCAGAGATAATTTGAACCCCAACCTTCTGATTGCGAGCCAAATGTTTTACTACTATTCTACTAGCATATTTTACCTATAGTGCAAAAAGGGACTCCATCAATTATAAATGATCCTTATTAATTGCACTAAATTAAAAACATGTTTAGAATATTTTTGACTAAAAAAAAATCACTATAAAAATTATTATGACAACTGAGTTATTCAAAGTTGGTAAGACTATATAAATGTTGGAAACTAGTTATATAGTTAAACCTTCTAAGTTATTGTCAATCAGAATGACTATGAACCCTTTTTAAATATTTTTGCATCATTGAAGAAAACTGTTTGCCTAATCACTACATTTTTTTTATCAGAACATTATACTGTCTAGCTTTCTGGAAAAGTTATCGACATGATCAACTGGACTTGATTTTTGCCTAAGCTTTGGTTGTTATTAAAATATCTAAAATGAATTTGTTAAGAACCATTACAGTGTCTTCACCACCAGATTCTTTTTTTTTTCTTGAAGATGTTTTACTGGCTCAGTTATGCAATTAAATCAAAGTAACACATTATATAGCTCTATTGTGTGTGTTTCTTCACCTTTGTGCAACTTGACCTGCTGTTCATAGTCACCCCTGTTCGTGGTACATGTTGTAAACTTGTAGCTGATGCAAAATACTTGAAACCTGTCAAAAGACAGATGAGCAGGAGTATCATTTTTACCAACAAATCTTGTCCTTGTGAAATACAAACAAGTTTTCAATATGTTCTCTCATTGAATGAGCAAATATGTTGCTAACTTGCACATAACTTAATTTTTTTTATGTTTTAAAGTTGTATGTACTTAATATAGATAAGTCTAGTAAACTGTAGGATTTTTTTTTGCCTGACAACTTTCCATTTCTAAACTGTAAATAAAGTTTAATAATTTTTATATATAACATTTTGCTTGTGGCTTTGTACTGAAATTTGCAGTTAGTGACATAAGCTTTAAAAAATAAAAGATCAAATACCAATATAAAATAACCTATATAAAATGCTTGTTTGGAAATATAGACATTCAAGAGGAGAATAAAGATACTAAATAACAAGTAATGTCTTGAAATTTAGTTAATAGAATGATTTTTATTTCCTTTATAAGTATTTAACTAATTTAATGTTTTAATACACATTTGAATAACATTTATAATAACTTGCTATATGTTTTAAAAAAATAATAGATATTTAACTTGCTACAAAAACAGATTGATCAATTTTGGGTATATTCTAAAGACCATTATGTATATAAATACAGTGTTTACAAGAGTAATTACAGCATAAAAGTTGCACTTGCTGATAATAAAGCATTTATAAGTGCTAAAATCAGAGTTATCAGTTGTAAAATAGGACATTTTTAAAAAAACCCAAAAATATTTTGGGTTTTATTGGGTTTTTTTAAGGTGGG